CCAACAGCACTCACTGTTCCGACAACAGACGATCCTTCATTACCTGTCTTAACATTTCGCATGTGGGTCTTGGGAACTCTCTCTTGTATCCTCTTGTCGTTTCTCAATCAGTTCTTCTGGTACAGAACAGAGCCTCTCACAATCTCTGCTATCTCCGCTCAAATCGCCGTCGTACCTCTTGGTCGTCTCATGGCTGCCAAAATCTCCGACAGAGTTTTCCTTCAAGGGTCTTATTGGGAATTCACTTTGAATCCAGGTAACACAAAAAGTCTTACCTTTTTTTTTTTTTTTTATATAACCAGGAGATTCCAGACCGAAATCTAGACTAATTTCAAAATCGAATATTTTCTTTCATTTTTGTTGTTTTAAAAGTCTGTCGGATATTCTTGTCATTTAAAACGTCTATAGTAGCCGGGAAAGACTCAACTCCTTGATGGATCTTAGGAGCACTCAAATATTGATTTTTGAACAATTTTTGTTTAAAAATTAAGTTTTGAACTTTTGATTAATTTCAGGTCCGTTTAATGTGAAGGAGCATGTGTTGATCACTATTTTCGCTAACGCGGGAGCTGGATCTGTTTACGCCATTCACGTTGTTACCGTCGTGAAAGCGTTTTACATGAAGAACATAACGTTTTTCGTCTCTTTGATCGTTATCATTACCACCCAAGTTCGTATTTCTAAGCTTGTTTTAGTTTACATTTTCTTGGGAAGTTTTCAAAAAAATGTCTGGAATTGGATCGACTGATTACTTAAGTGTGATTGATTGTTTTAGGTGTTAGGGTTTGGATGGGCCGGAATATTCAGGAAATACCTCGTTGAACCGGCGGCGATGTGGTGGCCGGCGAATCTTGTTCAAGTTTCACTTTTTAGGTAAATAAACTTGACAATAACTCTATAGTGTTCTTCACGTTTAGCTATTTGAGTTTTCGATATTTTCTATATATGTATGTACAAACAAACCAAAGGGAAATAATTGTGTGTTTAGCCAAATGTCCCAAAAATATGAGGTGTAGTTTCAATTTAGATTGTGCCGTGTTACAATAACAAATACTAATAATATATTCCATTCCCACCTGATTAAAAATAATTTATATTTATGAATAATAGAAACAAAATTTGAGTAAAGAAATAATTTGAATATAATATGATGTGAAAACATATTTTGATATATGTTCAAGTGGTTTATGATAGTATCGTTGTTGTGTTATCGTCTAGATTCAAACGAACATTTTGTATGTTAATGAAAACAAAACAGAAAAAAATATCACGGGACCAAGTGTTTTTTTTCTTACTTATCATGGGACCAACTTTTAGCAGATGTCTTGGAAAAATACAATTTCATGACATTTACTTTCTTGATAAAGATTCATGTATCTTTTTTCTTATTAAAATGGTTTAATATTATTCAAATGGATGATATTTGCGTATTACCAATCTATTTCTTGAATCTAACCGGAATAATTTAGAGTCGTAATTGGGTCAACAAATCGAAAGAAACCCACATTTAGAAGCAATGATACATTTTGTTTTATCTTTTATGTCGTTTGGCTACAATAACAGAGCTTTGCACGAGAAAGAAGAACGGACGAAAGGAGGATTGACACGTACACAGTTCTTCTTGATAGCATTCGTTTGCAGTTTTGCGTATTATGTGTTTCCGGGATACTTGTTTCAAATGATGACGTCATTGTCGTGGGTTTGCTGGTTCTTCCCAACGTCAGTCATGGCTCAACAGATCGGGTCGGGTCTTCACGGGTTAGGTGTTGGAGCCATTGGACTCGACTGGTCAACCATCTCTTCCTACTTGGGTAGTCCACTTGCTAGTCCATGGTCAGTCCAAACTCACCCCAATTATTACTCATTTTAATAAGACGCCATTTATAAACAAACCTGAAATTTGTATATTGAGTAATACTTAGAGACATTACTTAAAAAAAATATTATTTTCTAAAACCGTATTTTACAGGTTTGCTACGGCTAATGTGGGTGTGGGATTTGTGCTGGCGATATATGTCTTGATACCAATATGCTATTGGCTTGATGTGTATCAGGCTAAGACCTTCCCATTATTTTCGAGCTCTCTTTTTACAGAGCAAGGCTCAAAATACAACATCTCATCTATTATAGACTCTAATTTTCACCTTGACCTCCAAGCTTACGAGCGTCAAGGCCCTTTGTATCTTAGCACCTTTTTCGCTATTAGTTACGGTATTGGCTTTGCCGCTCTAAGCGCTACAATCATGCACGTTGCTCTCTTCCATGGAAGGTATACATATGCGCTCATACATTTCAATGTACCAAATATGTATATATTTGGATATGGGACATGAATGATTCTTCTTTGGTTGGTTTTGTTAATGTTTTAGATGGATTTTTTTTCTTTTTCAGGGAGATATGGGAACAAAGCAAGGAGAGTTTCAAGGGGAAGAAATTGGATGTACACGCGAGGCTAATGAAAAGGTACAAACAAGTTCCCGAGTGGTGGTTTTGGTGCATACTCGTTACCAACATTGGAGCTACAATCTTTGCTTGTGAATATTACAATGACCAACTTCAATTGCCATGGTGGGGTGTTCTGTTGGCATGTACAATCGCCATTATCTTTACCCTTCCTATCGGTATCATCACCGCAATCACCAACCAGGTGAAACCGATTAAACTAAAATCATTCAATTAACCATATCTCCTAAAAATGATCCTTGTTATAATATTTGTTTGATCCATAAAAAAAAAATGTGTAGGCACCGGGATTGAACATTATTACTGAATATATCATAGGATATATCTATCCAGGATATCCAGTTGCAAATATGTGTTTTAAAGTGTATGGATACATAAGCATGCAACAAGCAATCACTTTTCTTCAGGACTTCAAACTTGGTCATTACATGAAGATTCCACCTAGAACCATGTTCATGGCACAGGTTACACTCTCTATTTTCGGCTATTTTATACCACTTTCTTAATGCTATAAGTTATAATTCACACATAAATGATTGATTTCAGATTGTTGGAACACTAATCTCATGTGTGGTTTACCTCGTAACGGCTTGGTGGCTAATGGAGACCATCCCCAACATATGTGATTCGGTTTCTAACTCGCTTTGGACATGTCCAGGCGATAAGGTTTTCTACGATGCATCTGTGATATGGGGACTTATTGGACCACGTAGAATCTTTGGAGATCTTGGTTTATACAAATCGGTTAATTGGTTCTTCCTCGTGGGCGCTATAGCCCCGGTTCTTGTGTGGATAGTCTCAAGGATGTTTCCTAGACAAGAGTGGATCAAGCTTATAAACATGCCGGTTCTTATTAGCGCAATAAGCTCGATGCCACCCGCAACAGCCGTGAACTACACGACGTGGCTTCTTGCCGGATTTTTATCCGGATTTGTTATGTTTAGGTATAGACCGAATCTATGGCAAAGGTATAACTATGTTTTGTCAGGAGCATTGGATGCTGGATTAGCATTTATGGGTGTGTTGCTTTATATGTGTTTGGGACTTGAGGATGTTACTTTGGATTGGTGGGGAAATGAGCTTGATGGTTGTCCTTTGGCCTCTTGTCCAACCGCACCTGGTATTAGTGTTGAAGGATGTCCGCTTTATACATAAAAAAGCGCGTTTGCGACTCGATTTTTTATCTGAAATGGCGAAGGCGATTGCGATGCTAAAGTTTGGCCTGTGGATTTGGTGCTATGTTTGTAAAAATCATTTTATTTCATTTTTCTTCATTCTCATATACATTATTGTGGGATTGTTGTGTATAAATTGTAAAAAAAAACTAAAGATGGTTGAATAGTTGGGGTTTGA